GCATTTACGTCTTTGTAGAGAAATTCGCAATTTAATAAATAATTCAAATATTCGACTGTAGAACTCGTTAATTATGTTGTAATTTATGTATTTTTTATTTCACTCATTTATAAATTATTCGATTATTGGTTTACCGATAGACACACATGATTTCCACTCCGAAAGGATCCGCGTCCACAATTATATAAACTGGAAGCTTCAGTCTCTCGGACAGAAACTTGACGAACATTCTCGTGGCCACGTCCGGATAGCCCTTTCCCGTAACAAGGACACATTTCAAGACGGAGGTACAACCATCCTCTAACAATTTCTGAAAGACAGTATCCTTCTCGACGACCAACACTAGTTTCGCCCTGGCGCGGACGGAAATTATGTTTGACATAAGAGGAATGAGCGCACCTCCCGGCACTGTGCAATCGACGATCTTATTGTCATTCATCGTGAGCTTTAATTCACCGGCCGCTAATCCTTTCATCGTTGACAATAAATCTAAATAATTATACTTGCGTAAAAATTACGTGTTCGATCATTTTTACATTACGTTTATAAAGTATTCTTTGAGAAGGTGAAAACGATAGCAACAATAAAATTCTCATAGAAATGATAAATTCTGATTGATCAGTGACGATCCTTATTATTATTGTTTAAATACTGCCTTGATTAGGACTTGCATAAAAAAGTGAAACTCACTAAGTTCCCATGGGGCGCAATTCATTAAATTGGCAACGCATTTCACTGTCTGATCCAACTTCCTCTGATCTGGCACTAAGTGACCAGTCTTCTCGTTCTTCAAATCGTAATAAAGAGAACGTCTAGTTTTCGTACAATTCGTAATTAACAAACGATGCGCCGCGGCCATCACGACCATCATCAAAGTAAACTTGTCTCTACTTCCTCTGTTAGCGAAGCTCGTCAGGGTCGTGACTGACGCATATTCGGGTTCTTGATTAGATTCGTCAAAAAATGATTCAACATTTTCCGTATTCACTAAATCTTCTGATGAGACATATGAAACTTGTGGTAGACAACCATTACATATTTGTTGAATTATGTCTAGAGCTACGTTTTCCATACTAGTTATTAATTGCTGTCTAGAAATTACAAAGAACATTTCAATTTCTATGTTCATTCTAAGGTCTACATTTCATCATTTTGGTGTTCACCTCGCTTCTGTATTATTTACTACAGGTATATCGATTGTCTGTTCTTCCACATCTGTTTCACTGCTGGCAATTCTTAATCTTCTTGCAATATTTCTATTCATGATTGACATGATTCTGCCTGTAATTCATAATTTCAGAGGGAAAATGCGAATGCTCGGGGATTTCTACTTTCACCAAATACGACAGATTCCTACTACACAGAATCCTGTATCGTACATGGTACGGTAGAACACTTTCGAGAGTTGACCTATTGATGCAGAATTTTAATAGAAATCATGAAATTTCGGACATGACTCTCATTTCTTCTCTGATAATCCTTATACTTTGCAGTTACACTTTCATAAACAGTTATATCTTTATAAACAATTTTAACAATCGATATTATAAATGGAAGAGACATTATATAAAAAATATATATAATATTTTCTTCAATATAATCCTTATATCTGAGACAGAGTTTATGATGGATTAATTATAAGACTAATTTTTAAATATATTTTCAATCGATATTAGCGTGATGAAACTCTCCATCCATAGATGGCACAAGGAAATTCATTCACGAACCATTTCAACGCCAGTCTTCCTTACCCATTTCAAAACAGAACACATCTTTCCACAAATCTAATTTAATTAATCAAAATATAAACATTACAAAAGATATTATAGTTTAGAAACGACATAATTCATAGCACTATTATAATACGACTACAATCTAAAACGAATAAATTGCAATCAGAAAAAGTATTTCCTTGTCCTCCCTGCGCCCAAAATGTATAACTGAATTATACTGGAATCATGGTTCTAAAGAAGTAAGAGAATTTGTGAAAACGGAAGCGGAAAAGTAAGAGAAGTCGAGAGGCAGTTATCCCCTGTCAGAGTCAAATTTTTTACGCTATCCCAACTTAGCCTAAGAGGCAGCAACGAGGCCCAGATAAAAATCTACCATCTATCCATTCGAACGTAACATTCTCACAGCAATAAACATATTAAGTTGTCCGCCGACGGGGTAAGTATTGTTCGAGGGCGTACGGTCGAAACCGTGCGTCGATCGACAACGATTATACCGGTCGGAGCAGCGAGGCCTCGTATCGAGTGGTGAATCTCGAGAGAGTAGCTCGGACACCCTGCTGCGCATTTGTAAGGCGGCTGCCATTCAGCGCAGCGCTACCGAGTGCGCTAAGAGACACTTCAGTGCCTCATTGTGCGGCACAAAACAGTGGCTGGCCCGGCAAAACGTTCGATTGTAGCGAAATTCGGCGGCTGCTTGCCCGGCGCAGGAAAATTCGATTGATGAAAAAGATTTTCCTTCGAGTCAGGACTAATCGATTAATTATTACGTTCATCAATTATCTCTTAATAAATGGAATTACAAGAAAATTGCATAGGACTTTGCTTGTATCTAACAACTATAGTTACGTACATAGACGCGATATAAATTTCTATACACCTCGGATGTTTTGTGGATACTCGGACAGCCCAAAGGGACAATGAATGCTAACGAGGAGCAACGGACATTTGCGACGCGTGCCGGAACATTTTAGGGTCACTGAAACCGCCCCGCTCGCAATGATTTCGCTTCTCCCTCCGTCCCATGAATGCTAAATTTATGGTTCGCTCGCGTGATATCATAAAAAATGCTATTTATTATGTAATACAAGTAGCTGAATATTATGTCTATAAAGGGAAGCTTTTATGTCTAATTTTAGAGATTGAACAAGAAATATTTTTAATTTAACGCAGAATAAAATATTTTCTTTATCATTCTGATGATAATTAATAATTTAGCTCATCTTATTTCGTTTAATCGAGTTTCCTCGTATCATACGAAAGGAATCATTCGTTCGTCTAATGATTGTACATATTGCGGTGGCCCGGGGCAATCAAATCGGTTTCTAGTTTCTACCTGAATAGATACACGTATAGGTAGCGTGCTTATCCGTGCAAGCGAGCAGAAGCATTACGAAACCTCGTCTCCAAGTCCCGGGCCTCCTCACCACGTATAAAGGGATTATTCACGACAAAATAATACAAGAACGCCGCTCGGTTTTGCATTAAAGACACTTGAAGCAAGTCCTGGTTCGCTCCTCGATACCTTAGGTAGGGGGATAGTGTTACATTGTGAAACGAGTACGTTTGAGAAACACCCCTGAGAATGCGTCGCTCTCGAGTCTTCAAATGGCCCGTATGCGACGACCGCGTCCTCCTCAAAATATCGGTTGAATCCCGACCAGAAGATCATGAAAATGTGTCGACCTGCCTAATAATTCCTTTCCATTCGCGCGCGGAATTCGCAGGAAAATCTGTACGCGCGGTAATCCCTGAATCGAACCTTCTTTCCATTTCCACTTTAGCGAGCGAATTGAAAACATGTGAATTAGTTTGTGTCATCTATGTAAGATTATCAGCGGTCCTCAGTCGGTTTCCGGTGCGAATCTGTAACAGGAGCGCCGAGCCTATTTTCCCTAAACGGAATAATCGCGCGTAAACCCTTGACGACCGACGTATACGCGTAATCCCTTCGCGTCAGACCGATTCTCACCTGCAACGTGAATCGAAAGCTTCTCGGGCGTCGCATTCAAACGTCGAACCTCGCGTGATCGAGTGTCGAGAATGCGGTGGTACCTGTTCCGATTCCATGGATATAATAGCCAGCGACGAAGATTTGTCAAAGCCATCAAACATAAACGTACACGTGTGCACCGACGGTATATATTGTGAAAAGGAAAGAATCTTTGATATTTTCTACCCAAGATAAATTTCTATTCTAGAGTCAATGAAATCGGCTTAAGAATATGCGATAATAATGTTTTACGGAGGATTTGTTCTATTTGCGTGAATTGTCCTAGTTTGTTAAAATGTTATACAATATATGTAGACAGTAATTTATATTAATTGTTCTATTCATTACCGATTCATAGTTCAATCAAGTATAATCGATAGTTTTCTATTTGTACTACTCATGTAACTGTGTGAAATATATTTCGTTCTATCAAAATTTTTCCAAATTAATAAACCCAACACACTCTATAGAAATAATAGTTCAATATCCCTTGAGAAAATAAGCCAAGACAATGAGCGAAAACCGATATTTGAAACATTGATAAGTTCGATTGATACTATGTGTAGCAAAAAGTCTTTTTGTGGAAAGCAGTAGGTAGAAGAATCAACGACACGAAGAATGTTTCGTTCAGATCGAATCTCACCTTGCTCGGATACGATTTCTTAAGCGCCGCTAAGGTAAAATAGATACCATCGAATTTGTTCAAACAGTGGGGGTTGAAGCGAAAGGCAGAGGGGTTGCTTTAACGTTCTTCTAGCTGGAAGAAAGCAACGCAAATGATTCAAGAACTCTACTCTAACCTTTGTTGTTTGATATAAGGCAAGGGAATTGAACGCGATATTTATAACGAAAAAATAGTTTCTCTTCACCCCAATTTCAACATCGCATCAATTACATATAAAATAGATATAAAAAGTGTTGAATAATCGTCATTTCATTAAAGTTAATGTATTAATCCAGAATCTTTG